AGAACAAATAAAATCATTTTGCTCATTTAATATTCAGATTTTAATTAAGCTTAATTTTTGAAATCCACCACGATTGAGGATGGTATGGCACTGATATTAGTCTTTACCACATTTTGTTACTTGTGTATGCTAGTTGGTCTGAGCAGTGTATTTGTTCTGCAATCTTAACTGTAGTGGTGCATGTGATCTGGATACTTTACCTAGAGAGCCCAGGCTTAGAAAAGGAACAAAAAAGAAAATATAGATTTTCTATAGCATTTTCTTTCCCACCTAGTGCCTTCTTTAGTTAAACCATATAGGCTAAATAATCTCATTTAGTCATTGGCAAGCACACAAGTGCCATTTCTGTGGGTTTTATTCTCTTGCCCTATTCATCACAATCGCGGTGGATTGAAAAAAAAATCTATTAAGTCAAAAACAGTACCGTGTCATGCTATGCAAATATATATCTGGCACCATTGGTCTACAGGGGAGTGGGCGGTACCAGGAGCTGCAAAGAAAAGGGTATCACAACTGTCCTAACACCTTTCCGCATATATTAATCATCCAAGGGCAGGACTAGCAATCAAATGCACCCCCACCCCATTAAAATACATATCACTCGAGACATGTCCTGTACGTCTCCACGAAACTTTCTTTGACCAGATACCAACATATATAAAACCACAAATCAGTGGAAAACCACCAGGACCACAGCTCTTTAACCTTCAAGATCAGTCAGCCAACAACACTTTAACATAAGACAAGAAAAAGCTGGTCTTTTTTGGTCAGAGTCTTTCTCATTATGGTGGGTGAATCTGGGGTGGCTCTTCTGATCCTTATGACTTCTTGTGTGCATATTAAAATGGGGCTAATATGTGGGGCTGATGACTTAACAGTCTAGGTTGTCAATTGAACACTATATGAATTAATAAATATTAACACTGTAAAAACAAAACTTACTGCACACTGTAAAGTATTATAGGTAACACTGAATGCTGTGGGCCAATATAAACAGTATGCAGTGTTAATTTAACACTGGCACATTTGCTGTGTAATGTATTTTAGAACAATTTTACCCAGAGCAGCTATGGTCTGCTAGC